ATGTAAAATTACCCTGACCCACAAGGGTATATTATATAACAACAATGTTTAACTGTGATCAACCATACAATATGAAAGTATTTTAACAGGCATCTGAATCACTTGTCTTGATACTATTATTTCATTGTTTAATGTTAATATTTTTCAATAGGGTTTGCTTATTGCAAATTGTCTAATAACAATTTCCATTGAATGAAATGTTGACTTCATTCAGATATCACCATCACATCATTGAATTATAGTTAAAGGTTTTGTATTATGTGAAGTCAGAAAACTAAGGATCAAAGCGTCACACACCATCAGCGTTTGAAAGTGTATTACTTCTTCAGCTTATTGAATGCGTCGTAATATCAAACGTACGAAATGAAAATCGTAGATCCATGTGAATTGTCATAATACGCCTATGAAATCCGTTGAATTAAAGAAGCCTATTGAAATTTTGATATTCAGTAAAACCTACTAAGTTTTTGATATTTTTCAGAAAATAACTTACCAAATAATCAAGGTGAATTCCGATGAAGCGATTTTAAACAAAGAAGCGTTACCAGTTGAAAATTAAGCATCACGTTATGACAAATAATAAGAGAATGCAGAAATACAGTGTTGAATCTCAGAACAGTGAATTCTGATCCTCGATTAAAAAATATATGATCTGTATGGGCTGCTTTATTAAGCCGTCAATTATAACTGTGAAGATCGCGATCAGATGTGACATCTCGAAAACAAATTTTACCAAACAAATTATTCGTCAACAAGGTATAAACTAGTGTATACTTGGTACACTGATTATCAGTTAAAAAGAGATAATTTATATGATTATACGAATGCACATTCTACCAGTATTTGTGAAATTTTCGCGTGTTCAGTATCCTATCACAGTGAACGTAATGTCAATGTACAGCTGAAGACAATTCAGAGACATTAAATCGGATTACATTTCAAAAATTCACATTTCAAATGTGACTGTATATTGAGCTATTAACGCAAAATCATCTTCGCGATTCTTGTAGCGAAATTTCATAATCACACATGATAAGGAGCCACTGTACAACTCCTTGTGATGCTGCTGACGATGGAGACTAGCGTAATTAGCAGGCTATCAACGGATTCTTTTACAAATGCTTCATTATGGAGACATTCATTTCGATACTGTTGCAAAATTAGGAGGAAATTACATTATCAAACAAACGGGAAGTATTATTGATAGTTCCTTGGCTTGATGAAGTGAGGATACAGACATATCTTCAAGATAACGATAACTGAACTCATTTGATACTAGATGAGTAATAATTACAGTGTTTATGCATATCTGATGCAAGGCCATCTATGAGTACACATGAAAACTACTTGTTTAAACTTCAGTCTCTCTACACTTAGTAGTAACTATTTTTAAAGTGAAAATTTAATTCAACCTTCCTCCGTATGAGTGGGTGACTGTCGGTCATACGAAAGCATCATTATTGAACAACATTCCTCATTATTTTGAAGATTTATATCAGGCTAAATATACAAATGAAAAAACCATCATATATATTTAGTTAGATTACAAGGCAGTGATAAACAACAAGAGAGTTCAATCAATGACATTTGCAAAAACAATATCTGAGGTCAACAAACTGATGTTTTTGTTCTTATTATCACACGATCAGGTAGTGTATACTACTATCATCATCATCATCATCATTATTATTACCTTGATAAAAGTATTTCATATGAACATAACGCACATTAGATAGGAAGAACACAAATAGGAAATGTGATGAATATGTGTGTAATATTGAAGTAGATATTCCTGTCTGATTCGTCATTTACCAGTCCTCAGTGTAAAAAGATTTGAGTGGGCAAATGTAGTGCATGTTGTGATTAGCTCAAACAAATATGGTAGATCAAGAATAATATCTTTTTGTTGGAAAATATTACTTTCCTGATCACTTCAACCATTCTCCTTTGTGGTCTAATGCATTATGGTCTCGAGTACAGTGTAATTGTAAAAGATTAGCGTTCAGTTGACTCTAATGAAGATGACAAAGTGCCATCAAATAAAATAACAAACAACTAGTAGACTGTTATCTCACATCACATTATCTCTCCAACAGTCACCAATGAGCATAATACCTATTGAAGCTGTGTGTTCTGAGATCAAATCCGTCAAATAGCATCAGTTCCCTTAAGAATACAAGTACACCTTGCTGATTAGTGACAAGTAGCAGGCGAATCGGGTTCAGAGTTTCCTGTTGATCACCTCCAAACATCATCTTATCTGTTTACTCAGTTGAAGATTTGACGGAATCGACTACTTAGTATACTGAAAAAACACTTTGATAATAAAATTCCCTTAATATTTATTTCAAATTCAATTGTTCTGTAAACTCTAGGTTGATTGCTTAATTGTGAATGTTCGAATAATGGTGGATAGTGTGTGTTGGGTTTATTGAAGCATCTGAATCGGGTGAGTTTGTGTGGGTTCAGTTCTTTGGGCGTGATAAGAATTTAAGAAATGATGATGAATGTCACTCTCTATCATTACATTCATATGACTGATAATCAGTGATGGTAATCGACGCTAACTATGCTTCTACTAATATCGTCAATTGAAATCATACATTCCTTGTTAAAAACAACTTTCTCATTAGCATTAATTGAGATTGTAGTAAAGGAGAACACTAGTAACGACAAACGTATGTACTTGAATAGACAATTACAGAATCCCCCAGAACAATCTGAGAACCATACAGTAAATTCTTTTTTTCGCAAAATGTCAACCAATTGTCTCAGACTTAGTTGTTTATTCGTCCCAACACTAATAATTCCCTGTTTTAGTTGTCATTCTCTTTCCTTTGAGATTCTCATCTCTCTGTCATCACGCATTTGACTTTGTTTCATGAGATATACTGCTTATATCTGTTGACGTCAGTGAACACTTTTCTCCGATGATGTTTGGTAATTTATACGTTACATTATGGACTGAGCTTGATTTAGGAATAGTCAGTTGATCAGTTGCTGCTATCCCTTATTTGTTATAAGGATTATGGATAAGAATGATTTGTGATGTTCCTCACAAAATTGATTTATCATAATAAAACAATTAATAATTATTGAATATATATGGATGGACATTTTTATTCTCCCATTTGATTACTAACATCCAGTTAAGTAGTATCTGATTGTTAAATACGATTTCATAATCTTCAATGAACAATAGTACCCTAATACTTTTCATTCTTTATCAAACAACGAGGGCATCATTTCAATGTGTGTATCTTTAAATAAGAAAGATCTAGTTTTATGTGTAAAGCTAATACATGAAACGCTAAAAACCTGAAACGTGTAAAGATCTCAAAATCACTTATTTATATTTGTTACTCCTAATGAAGGAGCATAGGTCAACCAACAGCACTCCTACTGCACCCTACTCTTATGACCAACACTTTCCAGTTGTTTGCAGTTGTGGCTGCTTCCAATTCTGGTAGTAGTGTGCTTTTTGGTCTTACACTTTTCTGTTTACATTCATGGTTTAAAGTAGGGTCTGACCTCGTAATGCAGTTTGATGTTTTCCTCGAAATGAGCTCTATCTCATCTTAACTTTTTTTTCTAAATTTCCTCTCTAGCCGAAAGTTGGTCTCAGTCGTTTCGAAAAGCATTTTTATCATAGAGTCAATTGTCAATCGAAGTATTTTTGAAATTACCTACCGTGATTATTCAGTTAAAAATCCGATAAAAAAGATTCATTTTAATTTGTTTTAAAGAAGACACACAGCAGTGTGCATGCACGGTTCTGCATAATGGACTCTGACACAAGGTATTTGAATTAACTCATGCACAGTTACCGTTTGTACCACTGAACTAGCATCCAATCATATCAAATCGGTAACAACAAGCGCATGTTCTCTGGTATTCTTAGATTTTTTTCTCATGAATTTTGACGATTTTAGATTTCTCCATATTAATTCCAGTTTTTCATCAAGCTAATGGATTATTACTTACATATTCTATTGATATGAAGGTACTGATTAATATCCCTGAGGCCAATAACCTATGGCGTAAAAATGAAAGTTCATCTTTAATTACATGGGACTTCTCATATATTATTCTCCTAGATAAATCATATTTATATTTGATTATATTTCTATTATCAGCTCATCAATTAGTGATGGTCTTAAGAACGTTGAAACGTGACCCCACGGTTCTATGGACAACTGCTTGTGGCCCATCGCGCACTCTCTTTTTATTGTAGAGCACTTGATGTGCTGGCTTTGTGCTTCAAAATGACCATCCACCGGAGACATAAGTTGATGGGATAAGGTGAAGTATCACGCATTCTGAGTTGTCTCTTTATAATCATTGCATCAGTTATGATAAAGCAACATTGCTTTACATGTGGGCGGTTTGACGATAGTACCTTATTGCTGTCACAGGCTTATGTACACATTAGCTCGACATCGCCCTCGAGCATTAAGTTACTGCTTTTAGTCTTACTAATCTCACAACAAAAAGTTTGACGAAGTATGACGGTAAGCAATACATTTTATAGCCTACATATATTAGTTGATTTATGACGGTAGGCAGGCCTGATCAACACGTCAAGGTAACAACTACGTTCAGTCTCATTGTTTATATACATCATCATTTAACCACGTTAGAAGATGTTCTCAAGCACGTAGAAAATGCTTCCTTCTAACAGGTGAATAATTTATTACCCGAAGAGTAAGATGAATGTTCTATGTAATTCATCTATTTAAAGTCGTTATGAATAAACGACATGAATTTTGCTAGTTATACCTTCACCAGATTAAGGAATTTTTGACCGATAATCTTTAACTACTCAAATGAAATTTCAGTAGTATTTCACTACACAAATAATTGTGTTCATATCATTCACTGTATTATTATTATTATTATTATTATTGAATTATTCGGTCGGTTAAAAATAAATTGAGTTCTCATTAGATAATAGAAATGATGATTGACATTACCAAGAATAACTGACTATCACTGAATCT